ACAACACAAACACACAACACAAGCAATATATACTTATTAACACACACACACACACACACACACACACACACACACACACACACACACACACACACACACACACACACCAACTGAATTAGTTCAAGACTTTATGTGCATGTTTGTCCATTACAAAGTCATACTGTAGTATAACGGTACAGTAATGAAATCAGACGGTAATACAACAATACTGATTATCCCATTCTGATTACATTGTGTGCCAATGCATTCACACTAATACGTGCCAAAAACATAGTATTACCATAGTACATCCATAAAAACATGACAATACCATTGTAATTTGATTGCAAACCATGTGACAGAATAAACACACCATGGTATTTATATGGTTTACAAATCAATAACAAAAATAGCATGGTTTTACAGACTATGTACCATGTTATTACCATATTTTTTGAACATATTCCGTGGTGCCGTAATGATTTTTGGGATGTATACATACATATATATATATATATATAGTGAAGTAACATGTAACGTACTTCAATGTAATATAAAAATATATATAATAGTAATATAATATATATCTATCATGTACCATATCATGGTATATACATGGTACTCCAAAATACTAAGCAAACGTTTCAAAACTATAACGTATTACCCCAAAAACATACAAAAATATTAATAACCGTATTGTTGGATATTATTGGTATAAACATGGTACTCCGATGCATGTCAAATAACATCACGATACTGGCATGATCTAAAACAGAGTTTCATCAAAGTACATGTTAAAAACACGATATTAGCATGTTCAATAAAAACTACGCGGTTCATGAGACACCTGTCAGCGCGTAAAAAATGCAGCTAACACACAAAACAATAAAAACATGATTTATGAAAATTAATAAAAACGGAGTTATCTGTTTTTGCAAATAAACTCACTCACACACATAAATATATACACATAAAAAACAATATTTAATAAAAATGACAAAAACACAAAATCATTAAAGTTTTAACTAAAATGAAAATGGAAAATATAAAAATAAAAACAAATTCAAAATATTAATGAAAACTATAATAGTATCTCAATAACACCCATAACATTACTTGAAATAAAACAAACTTGAAATAAAATAAAATAAAACATTAAAAATGTTAAAACTTATTTTATTTGAGCTAGTCGTCAAGGCAACATTTCTCATATTCCTTTGTTTAACTTGATATATTAAAATAACTAAAAATAAAATACATTTTAAAACTATATAGACATAAAACATAACATAACAAAACAAAAACATAAAACACTCCAACTAAAATGAAGATGGAAAGTATAATAAAATAACTAAAAATAAAGATGAATAAAAAAACAGTAAAGAAAAATATATTTAAATTTTTTTACAAAACCACAAAACATAAAATTACTAAAACTAAAATTACAAAAATGTAAAAGAAAAACAAAAAACGAATTCAAAATATGAACAAAAGCTATAATAGTGTCTCAATAATAATATAGTAATACTGATATAAACACAGGTGTTTCTTCGAATGATGTGAGAGTCAGAACAAGTGTTTCCTACATTTACACCCAAACACCCAGCGCTGGGACATGATGAGAATCACGTGTGTCTCTGCCATTACTGACCGGTGAACTCATGATCACTCTCACACACACTACACACACACACTCTCTCTCACACACACACACTACACACACACTCTCTCTCTCTCACACACACACTCTCTCTCACACACACACACACTCACTCTCACACACACACACACACACACACACACACTCACTCACACACTCACTCCACACACACACACACTCACACACACACTACACACACACACTACACACACACACTACACACACACACTCACTCTCACACACACTCTCTCTCTCACACACACACTCCACACACTCGCTCACTCTCTCACACACACACACACACACTCTCTCACTCACTCACACACACACACACACACACACACC